AAATTTACTATATCTATACATCGATAAATCTACTATCTATTTGTGTCCACAGTTTTGTATATCCAAAACAAAGTAATATTTCTATTTATGTTCAGAAACACACAAAAACAATATAAGTTTATGTCACAAAGCATTTAAAAATTAATCATTTACAAAAATTTAAAAAAAAATGGACATCCACAGCTTCAAAATTCGAACATAAAATTAAGCATAACTTGAAAATTCAAACATAAAGCCTGCTATAATTGTTTCCCTTTTGTTTCCACAACCAAAACCACATATGAGCAATTGATATATATTATACATGGAATCCATTCATTTGTTAATGGGTAGAAAACTGAAAAACGTTAGTCAAAGGGTCTATACCGGATCTTTGCTATCTACGTCATCACTGAGACTACCAGTAGAGTGCACAACTTATTTTGTAACAACTTTCTCCACATCTTTTACCAGCTTTAGATCATTCTTGGCGTTTGTAAATTTTGCATCAATGTTGCCATGCATTGCTGCCAATTTCAAGTTCACTTCCTCTTTGAAGTCAACAATTGCTTTCAAAACATTGTTGTCCATAGCTCAATTTTGCCAGACAATGTATGGAGAACTTGTATGATCCCCTCTCCCATACCAGTAGATAGATTAGAAGTGTCTGCAACCTTTTCAGGTTCACCACTCGTCTCTCTACTTAACTACAACAAGAAAACTCTGTGTTAGTAAGATTAAAAAGACAAATATGATAATTATGTATCTAAGATTCACTTTCGTTCATTTCTTCTGTTTGTTTGTAGGGATTGAACTCCTTAACACCGAGTCCGAGTTAATAGAGTCTTCTTTCTTTAGTCATATTGTCCTTTCCTTTACTTTTTCGCTTCTCATCTTTCCCTTGCGACTTTTCTTTTCTTTAACAAAGTCATTTTCGCTTTCATATTCAAGCTCTTTCCTTTTATCCTTCTGTTTGACAACTTTGGTATCTTCAACAGACTGCTTCCGCTTATTCATCTTCCTGACATCTGGTTTCCAAGTTTTACGGTTCAAGCAGTCGTGGATGATATTAGCATATTATCAACTTTAGGATCTGCAACATCATCTTCCCACTTTGGTGTTGAATCATTTCCTTTCCTCACCATTATATTCTTCATTTGCACTTACATTTATATATATACATATAAACAGCGTCAACTACCAAATAAAATAATAATTCATCATAATCAATAGCAAGTTCAAGTTAATGTTTATTAACACATAAAGAAAAGAACAGCAAAGTCATATAACTACATACCTTTTTGTTCTCATATTTCTTTTTTATCTAAAGTACTAAGAACATCAAAATCGAAACGCTTATATGAACCACCCTAATACAAAAGCTTAACTTTACCATCTTAAAAATTCCTAAGCTTTTCACCAATCATAGAGACCGTTTCATAAATCCAAATCTGAAGGCGCAGGATAAAATCACCAACACAATATAACTTCCCTTTGTAATTAGCCAATCTTATACCTTACACTAAGATTTCACACCTCTACCTTTCCCGTGGAAGCTTCTCAAACTCATCCACTTCAAGAACTATTTTCACTATATGCAGTGGAATTCGGCTTCCACGATGCAGCCCAAGGACACCTATATGAATAACGAATAAACAGGCCAGCATTATGCAATTCTCATATGTCCACATTTTTTCTTTGACCAATACATCTTGCAACTCTATCAATGAAATTCCATTATTCAAACCAACATTCATGTCACCCCAAAACTCAGAATGATATCCCAAACGCCTGCAACCTCATAAGGATCTATCTTTATCCCGGTCAATGCAGCTATTTCACAAAGAGAAAACCGAATTAGTTGATCATCAACTGACAAACCATATCTCATGTTCCTTCTCCGTATACAACTGACGAGCCAAGAGACTTGAATAACCTTTGCTGCCTAGATGAATTTGCTTCCGACAAGCTTAATGATGGGTTCTACAAGATAATTTTGCATATAACTCCATACCATGTCAATGTTGCCCAACACACAATAATGATTCATACTTTTCCTCTGTTTATGTGCTTCACCAAATAACAGAGAAGGATATTCCACCTTTTCATTAACGCTCTTGGAAGCCTTGAGTTAAATCTGCAGAACATAAAATAATCAAATTAAAAATGCTTTAAAAACCATCATATCTGTAATGGGATCTAAACAAATCTGCATACAAACAAATCTACACCCAAAACCATTCTCTAACAAGTCTACACACTAACGTACCCACATAACTAAAACGCGACCCGGTTTATAATCACAAGGAACAACAAACTTTCGAACATAAAATGGAGAAAAATACTCACAATAAGATAGAAAAGGCATCGAACACTACAAAACCAAAACAGAGAAGATAAGATGAGAAAGAATAGTAAACAGAAAAAGACAAGAGAAAACGGAGAAAAAAGGGCAAACCAAAGAACGATACATACAAAACAATCAATAGCAGCAGACCTCTACAATTGCCGGAGAAGGGTTTGGTCTTATCGACGCAAGAGAGAGATAAAAGAAGATTCAAAGTAATTTTTAGAAGATAAAAAATAAAAAGTAAAGAATAAAAAAAGTAATTCTTAATTTTTGGGTTAAAAGTCAAACTTTTAAGTATATGATATATTCTAGTTAGACAGTGTTAAAAGGTATATTTTTGTAATCTAAAGATAAATATAGATTATTCTAACTGCTTCTCTTTTACAAATTGGTTTCCACTTTGAGTTGATTTCCTTATAACAACCTAATTGATCCTGAAAACTATGAAAGTCATTTCTTAATCGACTTAGACCACCTCCATCCATGAGGTTCTTAAAATTTAATAGGGTTTCTATAAATATATTAAAAAATAAGTAATAATATAAAATTGTATATGGTTCTTAAAATTAAGAAACTAACCCTCCAAAGTTTCTTAAATAAGATACTTTAGCATTTGGAATTCAAGAAATAATTTAATCTTCAATCATCAAGTACCAAGTAGTCAGAAGGATGTTGATATAGCTTTGGTTGATGTTAATCAATAGATTGCAGCTAATATGGTACCATTTGCTTCTCCTTACCCTGTAGCATCTACTGGAGATACAAATAGTTCAGGTTCTATAATCAGAATTTGGACTAGACCTCCACTGAATTTCGTCAAATGTAATTTCGATGCTGCTTTTGATCCATCAAGCTGTAAGGTTGTAGGGGGCTGGATGATTCGAGATGCTAACGGGGTTGCTAAATATTGGGGTAGTGTAGTTATGGGAACTGCAAATTCTCATTTGGAGGCTGAAGGTAAAGCGCTCATAATGGCTATTTTAAACACTAAATTTTGGGGTTTCCGCAAAGTCTGCTTCGAAGGGGACTGCTATTCACTTATTATTCAATTCCTTGGAGAAAAACTGGATTACTCTATCACAAAATTATGCAAGAACATCCTCTTCCATGTAGCTGATCTTTCTTCTACCAAATTTCTTTTTCACTCGGTGAATATCCAATGAAGTGGCTCATCATCTAGCAAAACATGATTCTCCCAATAGTTTATATTATTGTACTTCATTGTATCCTCCAATTTGGTTAACTCATTTTTATATAAGGATTATGTATTATAAAAAATAAGATATTTTAACTTTCTCTCTCTATTTTAAAAACATCATAATTATTTATTAATATTTTTTCTACTAAAAATCTCATTTTAAAAACGTCATAATTACTCCAATGGATGTGCACTTAATTCCATCATATGTAATCGCTTTTCTCTTTTTATTGTACTTCACTTATTTACTCAGATATCAGTTAAAAAAAATTACTTAAAGGCATTTTATCATACACTAGTGAAGTATAAAATTTTATAAATTTATATTTTGAAAATATATTTATATATAATAGCTTCACGTTGAAAGAGAACCATAAATTTTTATGATTTGAAATCTCAATCACGGAGGTATAAAGCTTTTAGGTTTTGATTCAGAACCAAAATGCCTCAGAAGCTAGCAAACTAGGTTAAAGATTAAGCAGTAAAGTTATGAGCTTTGATTTCGTTACAAGATGACAGATAAGTAGACAAAGAAAGGTAAGAAATAAAAGGAAAAATAGACCAAGACATCATTTCTAATAAATGAGGCAAAGACAGAAAAACTATACAAGATGGCAGATAAGTAAAAGAGCTTTAGTGTGAAGGGACCCCATTTCATTTTGAATTCTTCCTCAATAGCTTGTTCTTTTACTTCTTCACTTCTTTTGTTTCATAGAGCAACCACAATGGTTATACTTTTAACGAGGGTTTTATTGATTAATTTATAATATTTAATGTATTTTATGTATATAAGACACTTTGTAAAATTTTATAGTTTTTAAGTCTACAATGGAGACACTTTGATGGGTGTCTTACAAAAAAAAAATACATATATATAAATATAAACTTTTTTTATAATAAATTTAAGTAAAAACTTATGTTAATAAATTTTAAAACATAATACATTTTCAAAATATAATACATAGAAACATAGAAATTACATAAATGCAATTTAGAAATTAGAAAAAACTGTTCAATTATAATCTTCACTTCCGCAAACTTTTGTCATATATGTTCAACCAAATCAGCTTTCAATTATTGATGTCCTGGGTATTTCGCATCTTCGCTAAAATAATCGTTCAATAACTTGATGTGGCCTTTTTCGCGATTTCTTTCAATATAGGCTCATTTTTTCTTTGATTTGATTGGCTAAAAAGATTTTCGAGTGATTTTTCGAAAGATTGATCAAAATTTTCTTCGAACATTTGATCAAATTTTTTATTGTATGGATAATTTGAAGAAAATACCATTTAAAAATATAGAAAAAAAATGAATAATTTCTTGTTAAAAATTGAATATTCAAAAATAGAAAAGAGAAATAAGAAAAAATAGATGTTGAAAAATGTTAATTACTGTCCACTCATATTTTTGTCCACTCATATTAAGCCACAGGTCTATTCTTAAATAAAAATAATCTTAAATAGGATCTTGGTCTAAACATTAAGACACTACTTCTAACTTTTTTATTCAATTATATTCTTTAGAACATTACTTAGATCCCTCGGTGTGTGCACTGGAGTTGCTCTTATACATCAACTTGACATCTCCAATTCTATACATACACACTCATACATATATCTATATAATATAATATATGAATCTAGACATCACTAAGTAAAGAGAGACAACATTAAAGCCATGAACCGGGCCGGTTTTGATTGGAAATAAAAATAAAGAAGCCACACAAGTTCAAAGCACCATACATGATCATATAGATCAAGACACATAAGAGGCTACAACCATTCCCTAAAGAAGCAACTTTTAGGTAGAGAGGTCGAACATCAACAAGACCTGGTTCACGGGGATGGCGGCCAAATATGTGGTTCCAAGTCTATATTCACCCTGTCCGCATAAAAGTTATCATCCCAACCATGCTCAAACTCATCTTCATAGAACTCTCCCATTTCACCATCCTCAAGAAACTCCCAAGCCAAGTAATCAGACCCATCTGAGAAATAATCCGAGCAGCAATCCTCCCAATCGTTTATCATATCGTAGAACCCGATAACGCGTGGACCCAACACTTTCATATCCGGAAACTTCTCCTTGAAGAACTTGTTATCTAGCTGCACGTCCCAACAGCCTCTAAGCTCCAAGAACTCGAGGAAAACGCAGGAGGACAAGATCTTGAGTACTCCATCAGTGCTGACTCGGTGGTACGCAATTTCTAACCGCTTCAGCTTTGGCATTGTGGTTGCTATCGCATAAGCTTCGTCGTCGTGAGAGACAACGCTTGCCACGTCCAAGGGATGCATGTTTCTGCAAAACTCTATCAGGGATTTACAGTGTTTTCCTATAGCTTGTATCGCCTCTGGTCCTACTTTGCAGCAGTAGCTCAAGTCCAAGAAAGTTAAAGATGAAAGCTTTTCAGCAACGTTTACAACACCTGAATTGCTCAGACCACTTCTTGGCACCTTCAAGGTTTTAAGTGAACCAGCACTTACAAATAAACAAAGAAACATAGAAAAGTATAAGTCAGAAAGTAATAGATACAAAAGCAAAGAACTTAGAAATCATGTTGCTTCAATTTCATACAAATACAATTTAAAGAATGCTTATAGCCACTTAAAGCTTCTCAAATCAATTCTAAGAGAGTTTTAAGTGAACCAGCACTTGCAAAAAAACATAGAAAAGAATTAAGTCAGAAAATGATTAGACACAAATGTAAAGAACTTAGAAACCATATTGCTTCAATCTCATCCATACACAAACTCAATTATGCTTATAAAGCTTCTCAAACCAATTCCAAGAGAGTTTCTGATTATAATCACCACTGAAAGTCTTCAGCTTTAAAAATAAGCTAATACACAAACCTAGATCACGCCTAAAAACCACTTACAGCTTCTTCTTATGATCAGTATACACGACATAAAAGGGAAACTGAAACTCACTGTTGTGCAATGAAGGAGAAGATAGAATCATTTTGAAGGCCAGTGACAGAGAGTTTCCTCAAAGAACCAGAGCTCCTATTGATCAACATCTGAAGCATTCGATCAAGATGATCGGATTGCTGACAACGGTTACTCCACAGCTCAATGTCAATCTCTTGCCAGCAATAAGGTCCAGTTACAGCTCTGTTCCATGCTTTGCAAACCCTAGGCACCACTGTTAAGACTTCTTGAAGAGGTAAGTGGCTAAAGACCAAGCCAAGAGCGTCTGGGATTAACTCATCCCAATTGTGAAACTCGCAATCTTCTTCCATCTACAAAAAAAGATCACACAAATCTTCAGAATCTATGTATTTGAGAACCCAATAGATAGAAAGGCTGTAACATTCGTAAATAAAGCAATCGTAAAATTTCTTCTTTTTATATCAAGATCCAAGCAGAGATGAGACATAGATGAAGAAAACTCAAAGATCCAAGAAACCCAGATGAACAAAGTATGTTAAAGAACTAAACAAATCCAGAAAACGACAAACAAAGTCTATGAGCAGGAGAAAGGAATTGGGTACAATCACTACTAACTTCTTTTCACTCAGCAGCTTCCACTGCAGAAAGATCAGAAAACAGAGATCTGTAAAAAGAGAAGAGCTCAAGAACCAGTGATTTGAAGCAGAGAAGTTACTAGAAATGGAAAGACAGCTAGTAAAAAAGAAAGCAAAAGGAAGACACTTTCTCTCACCCAAAACTTAAACAAGTGATACTCACGCTTAGAAGACAGGACAATTTTAAGAAAAATTAAAACTTTATTCACCAGAAATCTCTATAGCTCCAAAATTTCTTCTCCAGGTTTGGTTAGAAGAAAGAATTTCACCGTTTATCCGCCACAGAAGCTGGGTAAGAGAGAGAGAGAGAGAGAGAGAGAGAGAGAGAGAGAGAGAGACTCACCTAACCAAAGAGAGCATCAACAATTTACAACCAAACAACAAGAACAAAGCAACAACAGTAAAAACCCAGCGAGTAAATTCTGTGACAGCAAAAGGGTCCCTCAAGCAGAAATGAATTATTTAAAACAGAGAAAAAAAAGAAAGGAAAAAGAACAATAACTATTGTACATTTAGCACCATTTAAATGGAAGAACAGAATAACAAGAAACAGTTTTTTTATCTTTTCATATATTTATTACTTTAATTCCTCAATAAGCAAGCAAAAGAGAAACCCTTTTTTACACGATTCCGTACCCCATAACACAATCTCTGATCAGAGAATCTACAAACCTTTTCTGTAATTCTCCAACCAAAACTAAAATAAAAATCCTTTTTTTTATGTCTCTCGGGAATTCGCAAGAGGGATATTATTAATTTAGTTCAAAACTAATAAAGTTTTGATTCTTTCTTGATATCGATGGATATAGGTGCCGTGGAAATTGGGTATATATAACTGTAACAGTGTGTGTGTGTGCGTGGCACTTTGACATAATTGCAGAGATTTGAGAGTTACTTCTGGAGTTCTGGGTGAAAGTACCGACACGTCACACGTGGCGGTTAAAATACCGGAAGTTAGCAGACAGGTGTCTATAGATGTTGTGGGACCTCTGCCGACGTTGACTTGTTGACTATTTCCACGGATTCAAACATCTAGCTGAGTAAATACGTGATCAATACGAGAATCAATGTCATTTGAAGAAAATATATCTACAATATATCTGGATGTATTAAACTCAAAACATATCCAGATACATCCAGTTATAATACAAATACATTTTCTTCAAATAACATTTATTATAAAACGGAGAGAATATTTTCGAACACAACAGTCTGATTTTTCAAGAATCGGAATCTGCTACGGTCAAATTAAGAGATAGGATGGGCCGATCCTGTGAGTTAATTCGTTATTACATAGTTCCTATTTGTTATATCAAATGTAATTCACAACTTTGGAAAGACCCAATAACAAAATCAATATGCAAATACTGTTCATCCAATTTCGCACTCAAGATCCGACCCATTACTTCAATAACAAGTTTTCAGTAGTCGAAAATCGTAGTAAAAAAGTTCAATGATCAAAAGGATAAAAGGATAAACGCATAGTTCATAGTCATAATTTCTCATAGTCCTGGACATTGGGTACTCAGATCTATTTTAGGAAATATCTAATCGGTTTTGATTTTTTTTAGTAAAAGAATTTTATACTTATATAAATATCGAAAATATTTCAAATCTAGTTCAATTTTTTTTTACTGGTTTTAGTCAGTTCATTTCTCAAATTTCAGAACCATTTAATATCCAAAAGATTATATTTTTTATATTCAGATTAGGTTTGGTTTTATTTCACCTAATTAGATCTGAAAATAATTTTTCTTCTCTTTTTTGGTTTAGGTCTCTCTAATCGGTTTAGAGGATTCGGTCACCATTCTTTTTTAAAAATATTTCCTCTATTTTTTATGAGTTGAAAATCATAAAACGATAAACAGAAAGTGGATATCACTATTTTCCTTTCCAATTTATCATATTACCAATTCTTCCTACGAACTTTTCTTCTCATACACTTACCTTTTTCATATCACTCCAAATCATGATTTCAATCAAGATTGTCTCAGAATACAGCTCTCTTAATGGTAAATTTAATCACATCACGGTAGATTTGCTCCCCAAAAATCTGCTCAATCACCGGTTTCTCATGCTTCCATAACATCACGGCAGCGACATCGGTGGTCGACTCCCTACATTCAGCAATACAAGAAATGTCCCTTGATGATGACGCACCAATCATCTTACCAGATGGGCCTCAGTTTAGAGTCCTTGATGCAAAATCTACTAGCCTGTCGGGCAGGCTCCTTAATCCGGATTGTCAAGTGATAGCCATAATGATTGCCTATATGCCAACAACATGGAGACTATATGATTGAGTCAGGAGCATTTCCCTATCAAGAGACAGGTTTCAGTTCATCTTTCAACACGAAGAGGACCTCACAACGGTTCTAAGGGATAGATCGTGGTCTTACAATATGTGGACAATGATACTGGAACGCTGGACACTAAATCCACCATTGGATTTTCTTTCCACATTCGAAGTATGGATCCGAATACGACGCATACCGGTGGAGTACTAGACCATTGATACGATGTATGCCCTGGCAAAAGCCATCGGTAAAGTGGAAGAAATCGCATATGACCCCAAGGTATCGCAGGTTACAGAATACATCAGAGCAAGGATCACTTCCAACATCAATAATTCAGCTAGAGAAATAAAAACATTATCTTTTCCCACAGGTGGTGTACCAATAGAGTATGAATATGAAAGGATCAACGAAAAATGTTTCAGCTGTCTACGCCTGACCCATGAAAGAGCAATGTGCCCCCTACTACGCAAATCTCGTCATGATGGGAAAGATAAGGTAATGATGTCCCAGGTTATCAAACAAAAAGCTGTTGAGTCAAATTTTAGACCAATGATTCCTCTGGAGCTGCTTGAACCTCCCAATTTCCCGCTAATGTTCTGGAATCATCCAAACAAGACCAACAAATGGCTTTACAGTACATTTCCCATGCTGATGAGACAGAGCGACAAGCACAAATTTGTAGAGTCGAACAGTCTATTGCGGAAGAGTCAGCAGAGTCCGAAGTCAATCTTGCTACAATCACCTACAACTTGGACAAGGGTAAAGGCCATGTTTTCAACTATAAAGAAACAAGTTCAAGGTTTAAGAGAAGGAATATGCTTGAGCAAGAAACTTGTGCGTGTTATCCTCCACAAGGCGACAAGCTGGACAATGCAGAATCCTCTGTCTCTATGCGTAGCCTCCCGATTACTAACCCAGTCCAAGGGTCTATGGTTTTCAGGATGGGAACTTCTGAGCAGGCCCCTCCTGCCAGCACGCTGAAGACTAGAAAAAGTTCTCGTAATTGACCTCCAGCTTGGAAACGAAGATTACAAGCATCCAAAACGGCTATGACACTAGCCATTATCTCAACAGAGACTACGGAAACCCCTGAAGGCGGAATCAAGAGAAAGTCTGATACATTCATAGAGCCTTCAATAAACAAATCCCCAAAAGCTCAAGAAATCACGGTGGCTTCTGATTTGAAGCCGCTGCCATCCCAATGAGCATTTTGAGATGGAACTATCAAGGAGCTGAAAGCACTAAGACAGTTCAGAGATTTTTGTGAAATACGTTGTGTGTATTTTCCGGATTTATTGTTTTTCATAGAAATTAAAAAAGAGATATGTATGTTACAAGTCTAAAGAATGGTTTTGGTTACGCTAATATGATTACTGTGGAGCCGATTGGTTTAAGTGGAGGCTTAGCAGTGATGTGGAAATCTAGTTATGAGGTGGAGGTGTTGTCAATGGATAAGAGAATCATTTATTTAAAAGTGAAGATGGGTTCAACGAAGTTCTTTTTAACGTGTGTATACAGAGATCCGGTGCAAGCACGAAAGAAGGAAGTGTGGGATCGGCTATCAATCATTGGTCTGGATAGAGATGAAGCATGGATATTGGTTGGGGATTTCAACGAGCTAATGAATACTGGGGAGAAGCTTGGAGGAGCAACCCGACAAGATCCTTCCTTCTGGGACTTCAGAAACATGGCCGAGAACTGCAGAATACATAGTTCAGGGAATACTTACTCATGGGGTGGATGGAGGGACGATGTGTGGATTCAATGCCGCCTAGATAGTAGTTTTGGGAATGATGAATGGTACCGATTCTTGATGAAACAATGTTAGATAAAAACCCAATCTGAGTTGCAACAAAAAGTGATGAAACAATGTTAGATAAAACCCAATTTGGAAACACTATAAGAGAAGCAACAACACCACACAAGTTTTGCACATCTGTATATCATTCATCTTCATCATCACAAATTGATTCAAAAGAAGGAAAACTTGTTCATCATCATATTTTTCATATTTTTCTACGTATGTGAGAAAAAAAAAGTTAGTAATAAAATTTTCGTTATGAAGTACTAGTGCTTTAGAGGAATATTTTGTTACCATTTTCATATGCTTCAAAACATCTTAACCAATTTCTTCCGCAAATCAATGCTTGCACATTTTTCGGAAGTAGCAGGCTTATGTACTTGTTTAAGACTCGAGATCCAATGCTGAAAGATGATTTTGAAGCTATTGTTGTGATATGAATGATGAGTAAATCGCAAGCCATTGAAGCCAACTGGCCATATTTTTGCGAGTTGTCTTTCCAATAATCTAAGATGTCCATGCTCGCATGATTTGTCATGTCTAAAGGCGGTTCTTCAAGATCCAGATTTTCCACTAACAACAACATGTGTCTTCCGAAAGGCCAAGAAATCCTGAGATCAAAGAATTAAACTTTCATATTTCACAACCATATAAACCACCAACATTCATTCGCCTAATCAATAAAAAGATACCTACATCATAGTTGTTGAAGCTCCCTTTATGTTCTCCATCATCTTTGTTCTATTCTTCACTTTCCCGAGACTGTGTAGATGGTGAAGACGACTTCGGCTGGATCTCATATGATTCAAAAAGCATACTCATTTTAGCACGGAATTTGTCAATCCTCCTTTGGAATTATACTTTATCAAGCTGATTAAAACAAAACTCTACAAGAGTAAGTTTCATTCGCAGATCAAAGATGCTTGCCATAGCAAAAATATCATTGACTTCTTCCCAGTATTTGTCAAACTTAACCTGCATGGGTATGACCATTTCTCTCTGATGTAAGACTCAAGTCCAATGCACTTAGAACAACCAAGAAGTGAAGCCTTGGAGCTAAAGATGGTGCAGAACAACTTGTACCCGTGGAGAAAGGAAAGCTTGTATCTGAGCTTGGAGCTGTTTAGGACCAAACCACCATACGCCGTCGTTCTAGACAGCACAAGGAGTCAAATGGTCGAGCCAAACCCCAACCGGTCTGAGCTAATTCTGAAGTTATTCCATCTAAACCGCCAAGACATCTTTTTGGACCTACATACACATATGGCGAGTTATATGAGGAAAGCACGACCTTACCTTATATTTTGGAGCATTTAGAAGATAATAATGAAGATAAGGAAGCTGCAAACCGGAGTCATCTCATTCAAATCAAGCCAGAACCACCAAATCTCTCTAAACCACCAAAAGGAGCAACATTGGAGCTAGTTAAGGAAACAAGGGACCATATGACATTTTATTCACCCCACCATCATATCCGACCACCAAGACATATTTCAAGATGCTCAAGACCAGAAAATCAACCTCTGAACCGCCCCAAACCAAG